AATAATCAGAATTAATCAAAGTATCCCTGAATTAAGGAGGGACAATAAATCAATAACAATATATATCACAGTATGCAAACAATCAATAGTAACATGACAGTTTTCATGTGGCATCACACCGTGAACTTTGTAGCTGCCAGCCATCTTGCTAGGCAGTTGCTATGGAGTTGCTACGACAACAAACAAGCCACAACAAGCTTAGAACTAGCTCTTCCCTCATTCCTATCTAACTTATAAATAATATAAGTACAATAAAACTATTACTAGATCACAGTTGTTGAGTACTCTACCTACCTCTTTATAATACAGATAAATATCAGTGATATTTACTGTAGTACTTACTGCCAAACTAGCAACATTAGTTTAGCTAATGTAGCTTTTAGCTGCTAGCTAAGACAGACATGTAGCCTATGTGTTTATTACTACATGTACTGACTCTACCAGCAACAGAAAACAAAAATCAAAGGGTTATAAAGTAATAAATCAGAGCTGTCAATGAACATGTGGTAAAGTCCAATAACACATTTACTTAATCTCATAAAAGATGTGATTGTTATAAAAATAAAGGTCTTTTTTGTCTGTGAGTCCACCAGAGGGCGCTACTAGCTAACAGTCCTCTGGGTACAACGTTCTGCTAAATTATAATCTTTCAACTAAATTATAACAATTAGTATTCATTGACTACAGATTGTCAGAATTACAACATTGTGTAGGAAAACCGGTCATTTTATAACAATGAATATTTTTATTAGTATGAATAAATATGTTACTCTTTGTAGAATTTAAGAATAATCTGAAAGTATTTCTTCTGTCCAGAGGAATCAACTAACTCACTCGATCTTTGGTTACCTAGCAACAACCTGCTGGGTGAGAAGCAGCTTAAAGTCCCGCCCACCCCAAGTTTGGTTGCCTAGCAACAGCATGTTGCGTAACTTGTGCCGCAGCACTTTAAGGTTTCGCCTCATAACTGCTCACAACTAAAAACTAATGGTGTGGAGTGAAAACTGGACAAAACAGGAAAGGTCATGCCTCCACTTTGGTAGTATTTC